TAAGGCAGCCCATTGTCCTTACCGGTAATTGTCTAGGCAGCTTATCGTCAGGACCGGTAATTGTCTAAGTTTGTCAGTAAGACATGGAAATGTCAGTATGTTTCTGACTTAAGTAGTATCAGAGTAAAAATAATTCTGCAAATGACAAACGACAAGATTAATATATTTACGAGGGTTGTCCAGTAAAATCGTGGACAAAGCGTATTTCTCGAAAAATAATGGACGTATTAAGCTGAAATTTTCCGTGAATGTTTATTTATCATATTTAAGTCAATTATAATGCTTTGGATAAAATATACACAAAAATATAGATTTTATAATGCTTGAATGTGCACAGGATAAGGCCCTATGGCGCACGGTCAAAAAACGAAGGTTTTATAAGAGAATACAGGAATATTGATTTGAAACAAAAGATTTAATTAGATAAGATTAGGGTAAAAATTATCCTTATTCAATTCCACTATTTATTTTGTTTTCTTCTTAAAATTTTCAATGCATTTGGTCAATTTTTGACAGTTTCCTGAGCATTTGAAATGGGAAAGTGGTAAACAAAACACACGAAAAATGGTGACGTTTGGTAACGTTACGGCGCACCGGAGATCAGTTCGCTAAGATTTAGATGGTGTAATAACGCCGTATAAAACTTGAAATGAATACAGAAGAAAAAAAATCCCCCAAAATTTCCAGATCTTTAGTATATAAATGAAATGGGAGTTTTCTGAATAAACTCTTTCTTGATCGAGTCTTGAGGTAGTACAAGACATACAGACAAACTAAAATTGTAATAGCTAAAGACGCTGTCAATGTTGACCGCGTCAATATAAGACTGTCTATTAGTTGAATGATGTTGGAATATTGTCCATATCTTAGTAATAAATCATCAGAAGATCGTACATTTGTGCCAGATTGTTTCCTCAATTGTTTATGGAGACTTAAGCATGTGCTTCAATGAAATTTAAAAGGGACTTATTCAACTTTATTTTTAGCGCAAAGATGAAACTTGAGGTACCCGACGCTGTTTTTGGCGCTTTGACGTTATCATCCGTGCGCCGTAAGACGATACAATGCATAATATAAAATTTCATAATTTGTTTATTTATGCATATATCTATTTGAAATTTTCTATATTTTATATTAAGATTTTCAATCTTGAAATTGAATTGACGAAACAAACAGAGGAAAATAGCAAAAAAATAAATCCAATAACACTTTATTTCTTGTAGTAACCACAAAGGGCATTTCTAAACTTTCATCGTATACAGAAATGTTTTTATCGCATGCCAGCCTTTTCAGCTGGTAGTTATTTTTTTTTGTTTGTTTTTCACTGTCTTTTTAATTTCATTCAACCAGACCCTCGGCTTTCTCCATAAACTCCGAACAGCAGCAGAGTCAGAGTTACGGAGAAAGCCGAGCATTTTGGGGGATTTCACATGGTATGGGTAATGTCAGTAAAATGTAGACGAAGAAGTACAAACCAAAAAATGCTCAAGAATAATAAAGCCTGATGGGTGTAAATGCATGTTAACTGTTTAAGGCTGTGTCTATACTTGTAGCCATATATTTCATCCATAATCTTTTTCCCTCTTATACTGGGTTATTTAAGGTCCTCATTATTAACGATATTTACGTCACCTAGTAATAACGTAAGTCCAACAACATTATTACTGTAGGGGTAACAATATAAACACGTTGGATGATTAGGTTTCAGATGCATTGCTTATCAAACTTTGTCCGATAATCATGACCTTAAGGGTAGGGTGGGGTCACAGTAGGCGATCAGTTTTACATAGGAATATATAGGGAAAATCTTTTAAAAAATTCTTTTCAAGAACAGCAAAGACATGAATGGTCATATATGTATGGAAACATCCTCAGATAGTGTATATTTCAGTTTGTTTAAATCATGGCCCTCGGGGGTAGGGTGGGGCCACAATAAAAGTTCATACTTATGCATGTATGAAAAAAGTCAGAGTAAAAACGAAATGTATGCATCCTTAGTTAGTGTAGATTGAATTTTGTTCAAATGGTACCTCCTCTCCCTTTTAGGGGTAGGTTGGGACCACTTATGAATTTAAATGTTTAGAGGCAGAAAGAGAAAAATGTTTTTTTTCTCTTTAAGTTTTCCGCGCTGAAGAACACATACTTTTTTGTGGACTGAGATTCTAAGAAAAATTATATTATGTTATACGAAAAAGCATTTAATCATCATAACAGATATTGCCTCTCTAAACAAGATTTGAGAAAGTGGAAATCTTAAGGAAACGTGTTGTTCCCTGTAGCAAAAGTTTCCATAAATGTTTGTCTTATAGATAAAAGAGCTGTAAATCATGTTTCATGAGGTTATTAGAGAATTCATTTCTTATCGGGAACTAAATTTTGCCAACCTTAAAAAAAAACAAAAAACAAAACTCACAATATCTTATTGTGAGGTTTTCACTTTTTTATTTGTTTCGGATAAACGGACAATTAAAAAAACTTAATATAACACGTGTTTTTTCATGTGATTACAAAAAGCATGATTCAAACAGAAATAATAAATAAATTACTAAATATGCGCAGTTTGAAACAAAAAGATATATCCGATGCATAGAACCGAAAGAATATTGGCATATTTTAAATAGCTCAAACCCGAAAAATAAAACAAGTGTTGATATAGATTCTAAGTTTGATTGTCTAAAGAAAACAAATGAAAGTACTGTCCCAGATGATGACATAGATATTAACGTAGACTTAAGTAATGATAGTATCCTTAATCAGTCTATCACAGGTGAAGAAATAGAGAATGCAGTAAATAAATTAAAAACCAATAAAACGCCAGGGGGTGATTATGTTTTGAATGAGTGTATGAAAACAACTATTTCAAGCTTTCTGCCGCTGTATGTAGAATTATTCAACGTGATCTTTGATAGTGGCATAATACCAGAGGACTGGTTAGTAGGATTAGTTAAACCTATTTATAAGGGCAAGGGTGATAGAAGCCATCCTGAAAATTACAGACCAATTACTTTACTTAGTTGTTTAGGAAAACTTTTTACCAGTATACTTTGTGACCGTTTAAATACTTTTGCGGATGAGGTAGAGCTAATCAATGAATCTCAAACAGGATTTAGAAAAGGTTATTCTACTACTGATAATATATTTGTGATTGATTTTTTGAGTAAATATGCCCTGAATAATAAAAAGAAATTATTTTGTGCCTTTATAGATTTCAAGCAAGCCTTTGATACGGTCTGGAGACATGGTCTATGGACTAAAATTTTACAAAGTGGTATTGACGGAAAATGTTTTAGATTTATTAGAAATATGTATAAAGGTATTAAGTCAAAAGTACAAATAGGTCACCAGTTATCAGACTTTTTTATGTGTAATGTTGGTGTTAGACAAGGGGAAAATTTATCACCCTTTTTATTTTCATTGTTCATTAATGACCTAGAAGATTATTTAACAAGAAATCAAATTAATGGTTTTACATGTCCTAGTCACCAAACTCAAGATGATATGTTTGTTATGTTAAAACTGTGTATACTTTTTTTATGCCGATGATACGGTCTTAATGTCTGAATCTGCTTCTGATTTACAAAAGTCACTTGATGTTTTTGCTGAATACTGTGACGTATGGAAACTCCGCGTTAACATAGCCAAAACAAAAGTCCTAATTTTTTCTAAAGGTCCAATGACAAAGCGTAAATTTTTATATAACGGTGTAGCTATTGAAAATGTGAAAGAATTTTGTTACCTGGGTTTATTCCTGTCAAGAAGTGGAAAGTTTAATAATGCAAAAAAACATTTAACCCAACAAGCATCAAAAGCAATGTATGGAGTCTTACGAAAAATTCGATATTTTAATTTACCAATTAATTGTCAGTTAGATTTGTTTGATAAAGTCATCAACCCAATTTTACTTTATTCATGTGAAGTATGGGAATATGAAAAATTTGACATAATAGAAGAAGTACACTTGAAATTTCTGAAATTTATTCTTAGTCTTAAATCTAGTACCCCGAATTGTATGGTGTATGGTGAAACAGGTAGATACCCTCTGTCTATATTTATAAAATTAAAAATAGTTATGTACTGGGCAAAAATTTTAACAGCTCATGAAAGTAAGCTTACAAATGTTATTTATTCATATTTTTAATGATGTTATAGTGATGGGTCGTTTGTACATCCATGGATAAAATGTGTACAAGATGTACTTAATTCTTGTGGATTGTCCTATGTATGGACAAGTCAATCATTTATTAGTTTTAATTGGCTTAAGTCAATCATTAAAGATACCTTAAAATGTCAATTTGAACAAGAATGGAGAAGCATTGTTGATAGTTCATCCAAGTGCATTAATTAAAGAATTTTTAAAACAGAGTTTTGTTTAGAAAATTATCTGATATATTTACCAAAAGATTTAAGAGTTACACTTACCAAACTCCGAACTTGTAATCATCATTTGCCAATTGAAAAGGGTAGATGGCATAATATTGACAGAAACTTAAGAATATGTACCATTTGTGATTTTAAAACTGTTGGTGATGAATATCACTAAATTATGGATTGTAATTACTTTTCGAAAGACAGTAAAGTATTTCTCCCAAACAGATATTGTTATAATCCTAACACTTTCAAATTCAATGAACTAATGAGTAGTAATAATGTAGAAATACAAAAATCATTATCAAAATTTATAAAGAAAATTCTTAATACTGTCTGTCCTTCATGAATCCTCCGTGTGATTTATTTATACATGACTACATGTTTTTCTCACTCTTTTCTTGTTTCTTTATATACATGTCTATTTATTGACCCTTGACTGTCATTTTTTGTTTGTATATATGTATATATGTACCTCTTGTACCAGTGATCTGGTTTTGAGCGAATAAAGAATTGAAAGATATTTTGCACTAACTATGCAACACATGTACATCGTATTTACAGTGCGAATCTAACATGCAGCTTCAAAAAACACGTCATTGTCGAAGCAAAAAAAAATGAAATCGGATACTCACTGAGAATTCCTCTATTTACTATTTTCTACAACAACATCTTTGTGATAGTTGTTCCCTAAACTTCTCGTTTAAGAAGGCATAAATGACAGGATTAACAACATGGTAAATGAAATACATGTAAAATACAATGATATTTAATGGAAGGACCTTAAGGGCCACTAACCATGAAGGAAGAAAAGCTACGATAAACACCAAAGCTACGATAGACAGCAAAAAGGTCGTTTTAATGTTTGCAATGCGCATTTTCTCAAGTCTGGCTTTTGATACTCCCCCTAGTTTTAAAATAACGTCCCCGATGCTAATCTGTGTATTTCCGTTCTTTTGCACAGCTTTATTACATCTTTCTTCTACTTTGTGTGCGTCCTGCACATTTGTCTCGTCTATATTGTTAAGGAAAGTGATCCTGGTCTGTTCTGCATTCTTCTTTCTTCGACGAGCTAAAACGGATCTGTATATCATACCGTACAAAATGATGATAATTAGGGCGCACATTCCAAACAACGACGAGTATATTTTCTGATAAATATAAAAGAATTTCGTTTCTTGTGGCAAACAAACATAATCATAACGTGTAGTGTAAGATATTGATGAGTTTGGCAACAAGGTGATATTTTGGTACACTGCGATTAGCATGGGAACTGGTGTTATTCTGTAATGAGAGCAACATATAATCCCAAGAAGTGAAGCAAACGCACACAGACTCCCAACAACAATTTTCGCTCGTCGTATTGTCATAATGATTGCATGTTTGAAAGGGTACACAATGCATAAATATCTATCCACCGCTATTGCTACCATGATAGATGCCGAAAACGGAACAGTTGTCGTAATAAGAAAAAGATAAATCTGACATATTATGTCATACTTAAGTTGAAAATTGGCTGCTTCTGTAGCGATGGCAAATGGAATTGTAACACAACACGTGACGAAATCGACACCGGCCAGAGTAAGGATAAAAATGGTTGAGGTATGCTTTTTCTTGTACCGGGGAAAGACGTACAAAACGAGGGCGTTACCGATCGTCCCCACCACCGAAAATATGGACATGTAGCCAATAGCAATGTACGTCTGCATATCTAGCTCCGCATTCTCCATCTTGTTCTTTAATGAGATGCAAGAGGTATACCTACAAAAGGTATTATTGCAATATAGCCAGTGTTTTCATTGAATGTTTAAAGGTAAAAATATCATTAGTATTGACGAATATCAGCTAGAACTTTCAAAATCAGAGGATAGGAGCAGCTATTTCGGAAATGTTAAAGAAAGAATTAAGACTAGAAAACTGACCAGTCAGCAAGGGCCCCGCTGAGGGGTAGAAATATAATGGTGCAGCTCATTGAATGAGAATTTTACTTGATTACACTTTTTTTAATATATGAAGATTATAAGTAACAACTGTATTTTTAAAATTTCAAGATAATTCCTAAATGTCCAAAAACCTGTAAATATTAACCTTGTATTTACATAAAACAGGGAAAACCTCATATCTTATAAAAAACAAAAACTAAATTTAATGTATATTTAAAAAAGATTTAAGCAGATGTTTTATAAATTGCAAGCCTACAGTGAATTGCAAATATCATCCAGGGTTGACCTCAACTTCAAAACAAAAATCAGTTGCAGACAAAATTGTTCATTAATCTTCATGTGACAGATAACGATAAGCCTCTAAATGTTCTGCAGCTAGCAAGATAATTAATCCCGGGGGATTAATTGTACTGCTCTCCCATCCTTTTCTTCTAAATTTACAATAAGAACTTTTTTCAGCATTGAAAAAATGGGGCTATTATCTGATTATCTGTTAACAGCATTAAGGCAGCAAAAAAATTAAATTATATAAATAATTATAAAAATAAAATAGTTTCTAATAATAAAAAAAGGTACCTTAATATATAAAATTATCTTGATTTTAGAATTCAATAAAATTATCATAAATCATTGTGTACAGTATTTTAACTAAAATAAAGTATGAACATTATTTTAAATCCATATTTCAAAGAATATACTGTACACATCATTCAAAATTGACCTTTACTTCAAATCAAAGTTCATTGCAGACAGAGACAGTACAGTAATTAATCTCAATGTGACAGATAAAGATAATGCTTAGGATTTTCTTCATGTGGAAGGTTGATTAATCCCAAAGGACAAATTGCACAGCCTTCCCAGTTTACAATGGTAACATTCCCAGCAGTTATCTCTCTTTGCCCATTCATTCTTATGCGTAGTTTAGGAATCTACCCACCACCCTAGCTCCAAACCAGAAGACACAGAGAACCCAACTTAGCATCAAAATATGTATTTCTGCCTACTGAACTACCATAGGAAATTTGAACCTGATTGGGCAATAACGAAATTGATAACCACCCACCCACCAAAAAAACGTTACAGACAAACAGACGGTTCGGTTAGACGGCGAGCACCTTCCTTTTTCGGCTTCTGGCCAAAAGAGCTAAAATGTACAGATTATGACTACTTTAAAGAGGAGTTATTATGAGTGAAAGTTTAAGGAATAGCATCTTGTAAAAGGAATAAGTGTACCCTGTGCTGCAATCTGCTGAGATGCAGAAATAATGGTTTGGATTTCAGTGCATTCCGGATCCTTGTCAGGTTTTATAACTTATTGTTATAAATTAATCAATATCATGTATAGGTCGAAGGTGTACAGTTTATTTTCCATATTTTGAACAGTTAAATTAATTTTATAGCGATTGACGGAGTTTTACAAACAAGTAAGTAATTCAGCCTTTTCTCTTGTGAGGCTTCCATACCATCGGACATGATTATTCCGGTCCGAGTTGATTAGCCTTGGGACACAATCAGCAACTAGAATTGTCCAAAAGGGAAAAAGACCCCACGCTGGGTTTTTCAGAGAAGGTGCCAAATCAGGAATACTTTATGGATCTAAGAGATGTTCAATATTTTCATATAAACATAGTGTCTAACCCACATACAATTAAACCGGAAGTTCTTACCTTCGTTGACAACATGATGCAGTCACTGGGTTATGACAATAAACCGGCAATTAATCGAATACATGTTAAGTATTTAAATGTGTTGTGTATTAAAACGCATAGATTTATGATGAAAGGTTCCCCAGGAAACACAATTTTGCAAACATGCAGCTTTGTTTTTAAACAAAATGCAAAACGCAGTGCAGTGTAGTTGGATCAAGACTTGAAAAGATATAATTATTACCGTAAATCTGGAAATTTTTGCTGTTATAAATTTTTAGCAAATTTGCGAGTTCATTACATTTGCAAAAATATTTTTCTTAAAAATAGTTCGACAATAAGAAAATGTAAACAAAATAGTGTTCATTCGCAAAATTTTGAAACGCAAAAATTAATCAATAGCATTTTCACTGAGTATACTACAAGTGCGTCCTATCCACCAAAATTGGGACTTCGATATGTGTATAATTTGACAAATATTCGAAGAAAATAACATTGATTATGCATGCGATAATTCAGTTGTGAAAGAGATCTCGGGTTATGCAGGAGATAAAGGATAAAAAGTTACGAAAGTATTACACAATCTCCATAATTCACCTCTTATACTATTTTATTTTTGTTTACTTAATTATAAAATGTTAAATATTGGCTATAATATGAAGACGTTGCAGTGGCAGATCCAGCAATTTTTGAAGCAAAAAAAAAGGGGGGGGGAGGTGTCCAGGTTTCCAACACTCATATAGGCACTTCAAACCTGGCAACACTGAGTTTTCAACAGTTCTATGAGGGACTTTGACAAGCCAAAAACAAACAAACAAATAAAACACAAACAAGCGAGCAGTAGATATACATGTAGCTATAATTCGCTGGGATCTTCCACTGGTTTCAAAGTGAAACTTTGCATAGGACGTGTTGGTAGTCCACCCAGGGCAGGGATTGTGACGGTACTCGGAGGAAAGCATATTAAACGAGGGAACTCTATTTATAGCGATCAGAAAGGACAGAGATTGAACAACATTTACAGTGTATTTATTTTATTCGAAATTTCTTTTTTATTCAAAGTATTTATTTTATTCAAAATATTAGACGTAATAAAATATCCATGTTCCATAACTCTCTCTCTCTCTCTCTCTCTCTCTCTCTCTCTCTCTCTCTCTCTCTCTCTCTCTCTCTCTCTCTCTCTCTCTCTCTCTCTCTCTCTCTCTCTGTGCGCAAAAATCAAAGGGGGGGGGGTTCCAACCCCAGGAACAGCCTTCTAGATCTGCCAATGATATTCAGTCAAATTTTGCAGGCACATTTTGACTTTTTCAGCAGCAGCGGCCGATCTCTTTAATAGGAAAGTATTTTTCATTAGTTCTGTAAACTAATCTTAATTTAAAAAAAAAACTTGCTTTAAACTGAGCGTTTATTGTTGTTGTTTCAATTTCATTGTCATTTCTGATTGGGTAATAAATAATATATGGTTATATAGAAAGAGTTTGTACAATAGGTACTTCCCAACCAGGGAGTGTTCAAGATATGAAAGGAAATGAAGTGGTAAAAGTTGCAAGGTAAATGAAAAGTTTTTCAACAACACAGTAGTAAAACTTGTTTTAAATGTGCTACAGATGTGACAACAAAGCTTTTTCTTACATTTTTTCCATCATACTACGCTCCTTGAGTTGCCTATCCAAACCATGGGTATTATCACGTGTCTGACAAAGATCCAGGGTTTCAGCATGTGGTTCATCTTGAGAGGTCTACATCTTCATTCATACATTCATATCATTCATCATTGACTTTTTTTTATTAATTCATTGATGACTCATTGATGCTTTTGAAATTAAGAAAGTACTAGTAATTTTTGAAATTAAAAACTTTGCGGCCGATTTAATGCTTTGCATCAATTTTATTTGAAATGTTTAATAGGGGTATTTTTTATTGAACGATTATTTTTGGTTTTTGACGATTTTTTCCCCTATGGTATACATGATGGATAAATGTAATAAATATCATTTGTGAGAAAAAAAAGTGTCCAACAAGTCTGGGGGTTGAATATCGGGGGGGGGGGGGGGCTGTCCACAAGCACCTATGTGCCGTTGTCATCTTGATCCTTTCCATCTCGATAACAAAATTCAGGATACCGAGATTCAAACCACCAGGAAATATTTATCCCATGGCAAACACATATCCTCAAGAACCTGCCTCTTATTTTTTCACATACAACACTTTAACTATAAAATATATATGAAATGAAAGTTTGAACAATTCGGTATTTCCCTCCACTTTTGTTGCAGTACCGTCAAATAAAGGTCAATAAAGGTAAATTCTCACAAATTCAACTTATTTGCAAGAAAATCCTATAGTTTTATTTTTTGAATTTTGCAAGACTACGTTATAATTATATAATGTTTAATTTTATTTATACAGTTTGAAACTTTTTGTTCTTCATCTCATGTATAACCCAAGATCTCTTTCACAACTTAATGATCGCATGCATAATCAATGTTATTTTCTTCGAATATTTGTCAAATTATACACATATCGAAGTCCCAATTTTGGTGGATAGGACGCACTTGTAGCATACTCATGGTGGACATTGAATTTTCCAGGTTAGTTGAGATTAAAACGAATTTTAGTCGGCGAATACTATTTTCAATCAGCGTTTTCGCTCTACCAGCCCTTGCTTCAAAACAAATGTCGTCGCTAATCGACAATCACTGCATTTTATGAGAGTGTAACATTAAAGGAAAATAAATTTCTCATGGAATCACATTCTTATATTTTAATAAAAATATCAATTATTGCCTGAATCGGGTCCATTTACTACCTGTGTAATGGAATTATTCGCATCTAAAGCACAACCGGAAATCGATCTCTTTTGATTGTTATACACAACTGCTGGTTGTGCAATGGATCGATTAGCAGGCGTGAATTTTGGCGCCTAAACGTGAGGAGAATTAACGACATTATTAATAGTTGTCAATAAAAGATTAAAACAAAAACCAAACAAAAACAAAATATACACACACAAATAAATAAAAATAACAAAACAAAACAAAATATTAAAGAAGAAAAACAAGCAAAAAAAAAAAAAACAAACAAACAAAAAAAAACAAACAAAAGAAAAAAACAAACAAACAACAAACAAACAAGAAAACGAAACCAAACAAGAGGCCCAGGGGCCACATCG